CATTCCACTCGCTTTAGAGCCAACTGTTTTACTGCATCTCTGCTGATGTTATCGACACCTGTAAATTCAGCCGCATCCTCGAGTACACAGGCCATCCAGCCTTTGCGGGGTCGTCCTCTCAGTCTCTTTCCATAGTTTGGTTTCCAATCCAGTAAGAAATTGGGAAACCGTGTCTCTGGCATTCTGACAACATGTCCGTACCACCTTAGTCTAGCCGCACCGATGAAAGTTTCGATAGACTTAATTCCAGCACGCCTGAGAACTTCTTCATTGGAGACATGGAAGAACCACTTTATCTTCAAGATTCTTCTCAGGGAGGTCAGATGGAAGACCTCAAACCGTTTCATCTGCTTCTTTGTTGTGTTCCACACTTCAGCTCCATATAACAGAATAGTAATAACAGCAGCCTTGTAGATACGGATCTTGGTGGGCGTTCTTATAGTTCGACTGTTCCATATCTTCCAAAGCTGATGGAACGCACCATTAGCACGCTGGATCCTGATGTCAAGATCTCGGTCAATGGTACCATCCCCACTGATGTTGGCACTAAGATAAACAAAGTTGCTGACCTGTTCAACAGGTTCTCCCTCCACTGTTAGCTTTATACTGTCTCTTTCGGTGTAAGGTCGCTGGGACGCACACTTGCTGATCGCCATGCATTGTGTCTTTTTAGCGTTGATCTTTAACCCAGCATAAGAGGTGTAATAAGCTATAAGATCAGTGGACTCTTGCAGCCCTTCTTCAGTATTGTCCATCACTGCCAGATCATCAGCGTAGTCACTATCCATGATAACTTTTTCATCTGCACCCTTTAGTTCCTTTTGCAGTACAGCACCATGACTGATTGCCTTGTGAACCTCGGCCAAAAAGATTCCAAAGTTCAGACAAAAATTAAATACAGGAGGGCCCTGGATATCACCCTGTCCAGTGCCCGAATTAACAGAGAACCAATCAGACATTTCACCATTAACCCTGACAGCACTCATGGTTCCGTTGAAGAATGCCTGAAAGATTCTAACATATTTCTCAGGAAGTCCATAGTGTCTCATGCTTGACCAAATAAACTCTCTTCTGATGGAATCAAACGCTGCCTTAAAATCAATGAAATTAACATAAAGTGAATGTTAAACTCAATGCAGTTGTGAATAATGGTGCGGATGGAATAAATCTGATCAATACATGAGCGGTTCCGTCTGAACCCACACTGATTTTCCCTAAGAAGACACTCCATTCCAACATCCAGCCTCTTAAGAAGAACCATTTGAAGAACCTTAGAAGACGTTGCCCTAAGAGTTATACCCCTATTATTGCAGCAGTATGAGGTGTCTCCCTTCTTTCCGATAACCACTATAACACCTTTAAGCCAATCCTCAGGGATCACCTCTTCCTCCCATACCTTTTTAAACAGTAGCTCTAGTTGGCCAACAAGAGCACTTCCACCATACTTAAGTTGTTCATTAGTTATCTCATCAACCCCTGCACTTTTGCAGTTCTTCAGTTTCTTTAGAGCATAACTAATCTCATCTCTAGAAGGAGGTCCATCAGAACAAGAAAGGTAGTCAAAACTCGGTTGTGAGGGCACACCATCGAGGTCATCAAGATTGGCATCCGATAGTGGAGGATTTAAGAGCTCAGTAAAGTGCTCCTTCCACCTTTCCTTCTGACTGTCCGGGTCTGTAATAAAATGACCATCCTTATCCCTTACTGACATACCCACTTTCTTCTTCTTTTTCCCAGAAATCTTCTTTATCTTATCCCAAACTTCCCTTTGCTGGCCTTTCTTAGAAGCCTCCTCTAGAACAGTCGCTATTTTAGTAGCCCAGTTGTTGTCGTCAATTTTACAACTTTTCTTAACTAATTTATTAAGTTTAGAGTAGGCTGATCTATTGACGTTTGAAGTGGGATCCCTCCGTTTGAACATTCCCCGTTGCTCTATCAAGTTCTTAGAGGTTTGCGAAAGGTGTTGTTCTTTAACCTTCCGGGGACGCTTTCCAAGCACTTCCATCGAGACATCAGTGACTGTTTGCTTGAAATTATCCCACATGTCCTCAAGGTTGACCTCATTAGCCAGACAATCAAAACGGTTCTGAAGAGCCACGTTGTACTCTTGAACCTTAGACGAGTTTCGCAAATGTTCGATAGCAGGCACATCGTGCCTTTTAGCAGTGATCTTAGCTAACGACTGCAGTTTGATTTGCAGCCGTCCACGAACAAGATAGTGATCTGAACCAATGTCCGCCCCACGACATACCTTAACATCGAGTAGCGAGTGTTGGAATCGTCCACTAATACAAATATGATCTATTTGATTCACAGTTAACCCGTTGGGAGACCGCCATGTACCCTTGTGGATGTCTCTATGCTGGAACAGAGTTCCACCATTAACAAGTTGATTGGCTGCACAGAAATCCATGAGCCTGGTCCCATTGTCGCTTGATGAACTATGGAGAGATTCTCCACCAATAACTCCCTCGAATCCATATCTGTTTGAAGTAACTTTTCCATTGAAGTCACCCAGTAGCAGTTTCAGATCATGTCGGGGCAGTTCACCAAACGTGTCTGATAAAACGTTATAAAAACGATCTTTCTCTCCGTCATATGTTGAGGTGTTTGTCGTGTAACCTAGCTGTTAAGACCCGCTCTGATGTAGGTACATAAGAGATCAGGGAGTTCCTGACCTTTTTGGAAAGACATAGGCCAACCCCTTGCCTTTTGATACCATCTCCCCTACCAGAATGAATAAGTAGACTACCATTGTCCAAAAGTGTACTTCCAGATCCTGGCATATGAGTTTCAGTAATACCCAAAATATCAAGACTGTAGTGATCAATCTTCTGACTGAGTTGATAAAGCTGTGAAGATGAGCTGACTAAAGATAAAACATTCCAGGTTCCAAAGTACATTGAGTGTTTGCTGTAGTTGATAGGATTGGACTTGCTGAAATCAGTGTCAACATGAGCGATCTGTTGACTAATTACTCTGTTGTTATGACGAGCAACCACTCTTCTCATCAGGCCACTGGGGTCCCTGAGGCTTTGCCCAGTTGCCGTCATCCTGGTCTCACCCGACCTCGCAGAGGTAGAAGCACACCGTCCTTGATTTGTGTGTAATGTTTCAGTAGCAAACTTTTAGAGAGGAGAAGTTGCCAGCATCTCGCACCCGGTTTTTTATCGACCTTTGCCTGTCTAGATCCATAGTGTTTTGTTGCACGTCATCTGTTTATACTGGAGTCACCCAGGACAGATTACAATGCTTAATAGTAGCACCTCGAAAAGGATGTGATTCTTCATCACGCACTATGGTCATTGGAATAGGAGAGGTTATTGGCTTCACTGCCTTCACGATCACTATTCCCTGAGATTATAAATAATCTCTTGCCACCGAGATTCATAGATTTCATTTTCAAAATCACCTGGACACCCTGGACACCCATGTTTACAGACCATATTATTTACAATAAAAATGTACATTGTTTAAATTTCAGTTAAACGCATACTTGTCATACATCTCTTGTTCTTTACAATTCCAACAGATATAATTTCTTAAATTCTCACCGTACTTCTTCATTTGTAGCCCAATTCTATTATGTACGTTTCTTCTAGTTAAATTCCGTTTTCCTCAGAAAAGAATGGTATGCCAAAATTATGCCTTTAAGATAGCTTTAAACTCGACCACAAAAAGTTACAGTAAAGTGCCAACGCATGAACTCATAGAATGATTAACATAGTTGGCATTCCATTTGGTGAAACCGGATAGTTAAAGTGGTAACCATGATTGCAATTTCACATAGTATTGCCACCTATTCTGGTAATAGCGTTTGCTCAGATTCCTGCTTGTAAACAGATGTTGTAATGCTGTTATTCAGAAAATTTTCTGGATGGTTTCCTCAGAAACAACATGTTGTAGCCGTTTTGTTTTTAGTTACAAAAGTAAGAGATGATATTATATACAGCTAATAACTTGGTGCCATAGAGCGTATACCAATAAACACAGTGGCGGTTAATTATGTTTCCTATTCATTGATATTAGATCATTTCTCTTTTGTTTGTCTGTATATAATATACGTACCAAGTACACCACAAACATACAATGTTTGATGTTTATCCATGAGGGTATTATTACGCTGTTTAATTTTGGGCGCAATCAAGCTAAGAAATCTGTTTCTAATTGTTTGTAAATATGTTTCAAGTGCGCCATGACCTGATTTAAAGTGCGTTCATAATTAGGATATAACGCAACATTAACTGTTAAAAATGTAACTTGATCCGCTGAAAAATACTCCCCAGCGTAAATCGGTAAATCGATTCCTTCACACCACTGTACTATCTTATCGAAATTTCCCTTCAAAAGTACTGCTATACTGAGGTCATTGACTTGGTCAGAATCAACTCATCACGACTAAGTTCACATTTAACAAAAGCCAAAATTATACTACAGTAGTTACGAAAAAGAGCGTGCCTCCGTTGCATCCTCAGGCACGCTATCGCTAGTTTTTGGAATTAACAAATGCAGGCCTAAAACTATTGTTAACTTTTTTGATTGCGCGTAACGATGCGCGCGCATTATATTCGCGCGCAGCTAGTTCGCTGAGCTGCATGTAGCTTACCAAGATAGATCTGTTGAAATTAAACCAAGGAGGAGGTGTTCGGTGTCAATTCACTGTTATTCTTTTGTGAACATGTCTTATTACTATAGACTGGGGGTACTGAGTTTTATCGTATACATTTCTTGCAAAAATGTGCTCATTTCCTGATAATTTCCAAGAAAACCCATTCTGGTTATTGACACCTGAGATAGATTAAAACCACCTCCTTAACACCCTTATTGTTTTCACTCAATTCCCCCATCATTGATTATCCTCTGTTCTCTCTTCACTCACTTTAACTTAATAGAAATCGTCTGGATCGTTTAGAATTGAAGGAATGACGAATATGAAATGAAGAGTGTTTTTTACTTGATTGACTGAAAAGTTGACTAAAATGTTACGTAATATTGTTCAGGTACCTGGGCTATAAAGAGATGTGTAACGCAAAGCCACGCCTCACATTTCTGCGGAGAGAGAAGGGCTATAAACTACAGGCCAGCGAGGATAATGTATCCGAGTATAGCTTACAAGTTGAAAACACGGTGAGATACTGTGTATGATTTCTATTTTTAACTGTGGCTGACTTTAATGTGAGGTTGATGTCAACTCAGTAGTTGATTCAATGTTTCGGAATCTTAAATACACCAGATCCTATTCACCATTATTCTCAATCTATGTGCCATCTCTTCGTAATTTATTAATGCCTATTATTTAGGATTTCTTTTTTTTAGATATATTTTTTCAGAATGTGTGATAAGTTTGTTACGATGGAATAAGGAATTAGACACTTTAAAGACGTTACTTTGATATGCTGTATAGTGTATATCAAGACATGGAGGTCGAGTGCGGATGAACAGAATGGTTCAAGGCAGAATACAGAGAGTTAATTTGTGGGGCAGAGATATCAGGATCACACATGCAGTGCGCAATTTTAAGATAATTAATATTAGGCCAGTCGGGGGAAAAGATTTTATTGATTGTCGACTTTTAAGAGACCGAGAAATGTGACACATTGTGAGTGTTGTCCGGTAATTCGGTAAATGAAGCAGTACATTAGTTTTGAATATAAACATGGGCCATAAGCCGTACTTTTGTGCAAAGTATTTTAAATCTATAAAATCGTATTATTATCTTTTTAAACAACCTTCTTTGGAAGATGTCAGCTTTGTATGGTTATCGTCAGTATAATCAGTTGAAAGGGAGGATGTCAGGATGTGTAATACTCAATACTCTGTAATACCACACATCCAAAAACCTTCAAAGAGCAGTTCATTTTGATTTGACCGGAGGTATCCACTTCTTTGCAACATGGCCAATTCGCTTATAATCAAAATACATATTCATTGATATTGATTTTAAACTAAATTTTGGTGATGCAAATATTGCATAGGCTAACGCCTGACATTCTCTAACGATTACAACGCTTTTCATGTATAAATGTTGTGGCACTACACTGATATATTCAACTCTTGAATAACGCGTAAATTTAGGTGAAATTATGCCCGATTTCGTTTGGTATATTTGTATTTATTGTTTATGGATGTGGTTTTTATGTGCTTCGTAGAAGCTTGTAAAAGAGCAGTTATAGTTCGGTGATTGATTTGTGGAAACTTAAGGTTTGGATTTCTTTCAAGTTGAATTTAAGATTTTACACGCCCATAATTTCGTTAAGTTATTAGTAAAACTTATCTTCTGAAAGACATGATCAGTTAAGTTAAATATCGTTAAACTAAGAAATTTGAAATTATCAACTGAGTTAAGTTAAATTGTATGTACTTTTCTTCAGCTCAACTAGAGTACCTGTGGACAGCTGTCTATTTGTTTTTTAGTTCTAATTCGTGTATAATATTCTCTCGTCGCCGGTGCGGGTTGTTGTACACAGATATACAATTACATGATCTTAGTTTGTTGCCCTACTTTTTATGTTTGAAGAAATATTTTTATTGGATTTCATGAAGTAGCTGCAATTGTTTTACGTGATCACAGTAAAACCTTAATAATATATCTTACCTGTAATTTCGTGACACCGTCAACTTTTTGTCCCTCCTAAAACATAAACCCCTGCATTCGCCAGTTAAAAAGTCTCGTTCACATATTACGTAATCACTTTTTGGTATTTTCAACCCCTGATTAAGGAGTTTTACACAATTAGCCATTGCGTTAAATTGACACTAGCATAATGACATTAAAAAACCCCTCAGTGATAACGTAATATGTATGTGAATGACCCCGAACCTGTTAGTTTTCGTGAATTTCATAACATCTAGATTCTTCAGGGCCAAATGCTCAAATAATTGTAAGACCGACATTGGAGCTCAGATCACCCTCGGGATTATTCCCAGCAACTAGTCCGACTACGCCAGGCGCAGGTCACACTCACCCTAATGTTGTTATGGGATACCAACTAGTCCGACTACGCAGGTCACACTAACAGTGGCGTAACTTTGCCTGTTGGCGCCCCCTAAAAAAAAAAAAAAAAAAAAAAGGTCGGGTACTTTTTTTCTCCCCCCCCCCCCCCCTACAGCTTTTTGCGCCCCCTGAAGCAAAAAAGGGTACCCCAAATATTTTTTTCGCGTCGACCGAGCGCTAAATTGGACAGGGAAATACACAAACAAGGCGTTTTTTCAGTGAAAGGGCCTAAAATTCAGGAAAATTGCGCCCCCCCCCCCCCCCCCTTATACGGCGCCCCCCCCCCCCCCCCCGCATAGCGGGGTCTGCGGGGCCCTAAGTTACGCCACTGCACACTAACCCTAATGTTGTTATGGGATACCACCTCAGGTATAAGCTATAATAGTGCTGGGGAACATGTTTCAAGAAAAAATGGTCAGTGATAAATTCTGAAAAATGAATTAGACATCTTATTGCATTCTCAAAATCATACAGCATATTATTAGCAAAGATATTCTGAAACCGTGTTATAAATCAAGAGGCTTGCATATATTGAACATATTGACACGGGTGCAGAGTTGAGTCTGTACGGAACCTAGTAGTTTCAGATCCTTGTTTAACTTGCCGTACAGCAAGGTCATCCACTACTTTAGCCCGGCGAGGCACATAACTCCCTTATGTCAACTGTGTGAACTTAGAACTACTGCGAAGATTTTGGGTCGAGTGATTGAAGTTACGAGCCCACCTGTGCCGCATGAGTTGCAGCAATGGATAACCTATCGCAGTGCCTTTTCAGTACTTTTGCCCCGGTACTTAAATACATTCTCAATCTGTACAGTTTCAAGACGCCCTTGCCAATTGCCAAACCTGCGCTCGCTCAAGAGATCTGATAGGTCTCGCTGTTGGCTAGCGAACGGCCTGACAGATCTCTCAAGCGTGCGTGCAAGGCTATACAGGTTTTAATAGCTTAAACAACGCCCATGCACCTAGATAGAAATTCAGTCGGTCACTACACAGTGCAGCCCATCTCACTTAATATTCTAAATAGTACACGCGCGGGCCGGCACGGCGCGCGCGCGCGCTTCCCATCTTCACGAGCTGTGCTTTTATATTTTGCTTTAATCATCGCAAACAAATTTGGGGTTTGCGCGTGCCGTACATGCACAAGGCTTTCCTTCCGATGCCTGAGGATCAGTTTCCGGTGACCGAATCCGTGATACTGCTTGTGCTCATTTTAATTTCCAGAGAATGTTGTGGCAACGAACTAAAACATTGATTATAATTAATTCATGGTATAAATATTAGACACAATTAATGTAAATTGTAAATACTATAAACTTAATTTGAACATATCATGATATATGAACTAACAATTTAGGTTTTGCTCGCTCAAAGAAAATTGTCAAGCCAATTAAAAAGATCGAACATGAATTATAAGACAAATTATCAAAATTACGTCATACTTTAAGTTCAACTACATGTATAAATGATAAATCGTACACAGTTAACTTCCCGAACTTCGATTTCGATTGTTAATTATTGTGTGATTGTATAATACTATAAATGCGAAGTCAATATTGTCAACTTTAAAGGGAAAGGATATTGTAACAAATAGTACAATAATAATTGGCTGTTTAAATATAACATCAGCCATTTACATCCCTCCTCCCCCAACGTCAGCAAGGGTGCACTGGGATATTGTGCGAAAATAACGTCAGCGTCAGCATTTAGACAAAAACTCCCCCCTAGGACAATAAACGGAAAATTTAATCACTCTATTATTAAGGCTCAAAAAGATTCAACCAGTTACATACTTTGTAAACTAATAACTTCCCACCACTAACGATTACAAATACATCACAAATCGAGGAACTCCCCCAAGAAGAAGCATATATTAATATCTGATAACTTATTATAAAAACCATTAAATGTATTAGCTTCTAGAAATATTAATAAGAGTGTGAATGAAGAAATCCCCACAATTAGACTTTGATATTTCAGGCGAACTTAATAGGGTTATAGTTATGGATGCAAATATTTGTTGTGGCTCAAGACTACGTTTAAGGTGGAAAGGATTTGGAGTCATAGTCAGTTGACTCATCAAAAAGACTTAATGCTTTTCTGAAAAATATGAAATTGTGGGGTTTTCTGTGGGCATCAAATATGAGTCAAATTAAATCATAAAAAGATTATAGATTGGTAAGTCAGCGATAAACTAAAGTATAAATGATCAATAAATGTGCAATATTATGCAAAGTACCAATTGTAATACTAAAAACATGTCAAAACCCGCAAAAATTAAATCCACGTAATAATGAATATTATGTACCTAAAACACTACAATCAAAGCTCTTCCCCCACAGTACATTTACTGCAGAAATACTTCTTCCTAAAGGACGGAGCACGTGGTTTCCCTACAGACCAGTTTGCAGGAAACTCTGATTTGATAAGAGTAACCAGTTCCTGGTGCTCACCATCACTATCACCGTCAAGTAACAGGGGAACATCCGCCAAAATTACATCTTCTAATTTAATATACTGTTTATCACAAGTCTTGTGCAGACCCTTGGTGCTTTTCCGTTTTTTCTTCGGTTTACTATCTGTCTGTTTTTTCTGATGTGAAGGTTGAGTGATGGGTGCCGGAGGAGGAGGGGCTACTGGTTCTCGAGGTTTCAGCGTTATTTTCTTAGCGTCAAGTTTAGCTCTGCGCGATGAGGTGCGCACAGATGATTTAGCGCTGCGCAAAGAGGTCCGTACAGAATTTTTAGGAGGGGGGTTCAAGGTTTTGTGAGATAATTTGGGAGGGTCTGATTGGAGTTTTATCTGGTTATTATCTGATAGTACCTTGTGATTCTGATTACACATACTTTCAGAAACTATTTTCTCGACCAATTGAAGTACTTGTTCACTGGAATTTGAGCTAGAAGGTGCATTTAGTTCATCACTCACATGGCTGAATTGGTCGTTCATATCACTTGAAAGAGCTGAACTCTCATCAACAACATGCCCATTAACAACACCACCACCACTACTCAGATCTTCCTCTGAACCATGATTACTACACTCTGAATCACTGGGACCCGCTGTGCGCTTCCTCTTACGGGACGCAGCATGTTCCTTAATAGCAGCACACACATCCCTCACACCATCCTTTAAAGGTATGCCATGTAACAAGGTGTTGTGCCGGTTAACATTCAGCCCCTCAGCAACTGTCAACATGTCTTCTCCAGCTTTACTCCGCACTCTCTCGATCACCTCGCTCAACAGATCAGATAGGATCCCCGTGGTGCGTTCTCGTATTGTGTTAGTCCGTCCAGCCTCGAAGAAGAGCTCCATCTGTCATGTCATCTCCTGTTTATGGTACGGATATTCAGTGTGGACGATTCATAGAGATTATATCATTTGATATTTTAATAATCTCATCCTCGAATTGGTCTTACACGTATAATTTGTTTGATTTTAATCAAATTGATTTTTCGAAGAAAGGAAACAAAGATATTCTTAACCAATCTACAAACGTAACGAAACAAATCACAATTTATACCCCTTTATAGGTAACAAACCTTGTCAATAACATTGTACAATAGCGAATATATATAAGAGTGTAAGAACAGTGAGCGGGCACACAACATGTGCCGCAAACCAGGATGCATGGTTACTTAACAACACTCTGTTGTGATAGGCTGAGCTACAGGATGTACACTAATACCTACCTTGTATACTTGTATAAAGTATACCTTACTTGTGGTGTACACTGCACCTATGTTTTATGTTTATGCGCATGTTTTATACGGTGTTTATGGTAAAATCTAAGCTGAAGTCCACATGTTAGCTGTTAAGTTCTAATTTATTCCCATTTGCTATGTTATAATTTAAAAAGTAACCAATCACGTACGTACTTACAAATACCAGAGCTAAATCTCTGGGCCCAATACCGATACTGCACACCATAAAGAAACAATATGAAATAATAAATTACAGGATGAATCATCTAATCTAAGCTAACTCCTACGTTATCTCATATCACTAAAACTATCAGGCACAATAAACCTAGCACCCTCTATCCCCCTGGTAACGTCCACTTGACATGCTAGCCGTGATGTCTCCGTCACCCCATCCACAGCATCCAACACATCTAGCTCCTCCTCCTCTGGTTCCTCCAGCTTGTCAAATGTGGCCTGGTCAGCTATCACGTGACATGTTGAACACTCGCACATTCCTGAGGGGGCAGGCTGGGTTATTGTTTATATTAGAATTACAGGTATTACCGTGATTACAGGTGAAACCGTGATGATAAAATCGTGGTATTTTGAAACTATTATTTAGTCAGGTTTGAACCCTCTTATTGCCACTATGGGGAGATACCACTATTAGAATATAATAATTATTCGTAACAAAATGACGAAAATACTGACCACCACAAACTGATGGGAGGTTGATGTGGTTATCTTTAGCTGTTTCCATGATTGAGTCTCCTCTAATTGCTTTAACGTGCCTCTCTATACCTGGTATTTAAAATACAATATAGTTGCAAACTTGTACTTTTAAAAAGCAACAAAAGGAATCTTTTGTTTCGATTGGAATATTCAACAGGGAATTTTTTAAACAGGGAAATCGAAAGAAAAATCAAATGAGATTAATGTGGTACATCAGTTGTGTGATCTAACCTTTCTCTATGAAGGTAATGTTAACACTACAAGAAGGAGTAGTGTGAAGATGCGCGGTAGTTGCCCGGAACAAGGACGGTACTAATCTGCCACATAATCTTGACATCCTGCAGTCACCACCCGGTATCGTTTACTTGAAAACTGGTGGGATGGGGACAGGAATTTGTTATTACTCATGAACAACTTGTTTCATGAATTCAATCAAATTTGCGCCACATTTTCATAAGCTTTTAACATTGTCATTATAGATAGCATGTCTTATCGTCTCTATTCTCTACATTTGTAAAACTTTTGCTTGTCGTTTAAAATTATGCACAAATGGGCAGTGTGAAAATTCATTCGACCAATCACTTTCAAATAGCTAGCAGAGTAAAGAGTCGAATTTTGGATATTAACTGGCAAAAGAAAAGTTCATAATAAATTATATTACCAAAACCTATCGATTATAGAAAATTATTAACCAACTCGCTGTAAAAGTTAGTTCTGTAGAGGGTCAAAAACCTAGGGTCGAAATTATCGATTATAGTAATTCAAAAACCCACTAATCTTTAGCGAGGGTTATTTACGTACTTTACGTTACTTGAAGTGTCAACATGCATCAATAGAACAGCGATTAGGTTATGAAAATGCTTTCTGCATTGCAGTGTCACACATCACATGTGAAATAAAGTAGAAACTGACCCATGGAGACACAATCTTTACACTACACAAATACACAGCCACAATCGTACTACAAAAATGAAATATAAACGAATCCAATAATCAACACTATCGCTTTCTCCACTTATACCTCTTACGAGAGTTCTTCTTATAAGCCTTATTATACTCAACTCTCATCTCATTCTTATAAACAACCTCTAACACTCCCCCCAAATGAGGACTATACATTTGTAAACAGTCTGCTATAGACATTGCTATACAGTGAGCTAAAGAGTGTAATTTATTAGGATTGTCCTGTTCCACCTCAACGTTAATATCAAAGACTCCCAGTGTCCTTGTTACCCTGAGGGGCGAGATAACGATCATTCTAGAGAGAATCTCGGGGAAGAAATCAAGGAAGGGTTCATTGTTGATGGTGATCTTCCCAGAGCCAGGGACCACAGTTGTGACTACACTATTGAATACAAATGATCTGTTGACTTTACCCCGGAACACTGGTAATGAAGCACCACCTCCGCCCTTTTTCCGTGCTGATATTGGGCCGTTTTTCCTTTTTTGTTCAGAATGAAGTATATGCTTGATAGCTGGGTAGTACATGTTAATTAAATCAGGTCTATCTTGGATGAGATGATTTAGCCTGTTGAACTGTAGTTCGAGTGTTTTTTTCTCCACCTTCGAGCCATTTTCAACGTTACGGGGTTTGAAAGGGAACATAAGCAGAGCAGACACTACATCTCCATCTGTAGGAGTAAATGAAATGTCCTCACCAGAGTCCAAATTTTCAACTAAACCAGCAGTTTCTATATCATCGGCAATACTTACATCCGCCAACTCATTCGCTAGTTCTCCTTCATAGTCAGCTACTTCACTGATAGAGGAATTATCAACAGGATTATCTACAGGCTCCTCTGAGCTAGGAGCTGCATTAGCCGTATCAGCAGAAGGCACTTCTGGTTCAGTGAAAACAACCTCATCAGGATCTATAAACAGTTCCAGACCAGGAGAAATGTTTATTTGCTCCATTGCATCTAACACAACACTATGAACCAGTCTGATTTCTCTGCGGAAACTTTTAAAATCTGAACTTTGTGTACCTGCTTCTTTATGTTCACTGCTGTTGTATTGTGATATTATATCAAGAAAAGCCTGGACAGGTATTTCTGCAGGAATGTTTGGTTTGTATTTCCTCCTCTCAATGTCTGACGGCAAAAGGTACAATAGACTCAGTTTTAAGTGAAGATCAGAAAAATGATCAGGGTCAATCCCCATTATCTTGGCTATATTTTCCTTGGTAGATCTGATCTTGGTATTGTAATCCATACGGTAGGGTTTTGATGTTTGATGATACTCAAGCTGTTCTTTAATGTCTTCAAGAAACCAATTTTGCATTTTATTCCAGGAGAGGTAATCATGGCCCTTTTTGATAGGCCAGCTGATTGTGACTTGTTTTCTGTGGAGAACAGCAGCGGTTGAGCGAAGTGCTGGGAATCTGCTGCAGAGAAACATCACCTGAGCTCCTGAGGAAGAAATAAAGATTACCAAATATTGACGTACGTAACTTAAAAGTTCATTATTGATTATCACAACTGTTATTTTCAATAAAGATTTGCAACACTATTACTTTACATATTTTTTTGGTAGTTATCATAGTTCAAAACCTTTTGGGTATTACACGATTGCAGATTTTTCATTGAACGTACTAGTAACTGGTCATTTATTTTCAGTGCATTAAATAACGTATATCTTTCATTTGATGAAAAAATTGAAACAAGATTGGTTCAACACTGATGTAATGAAATAATAATTTAATAAAAGTAGTAACGGTTCAATGAAATCTCATCTTAAGTCTTTTAAGGTGAGCTTGCTAAAACAGAAATGGTTCAGTAAAAAGATTTAAAAACGAGTCAAAACTTCAATTTAAAACTTCTTTTTCTTCTTCCATTTCCCTTTACCAGCATCGTTCGGCCTTTTTCTCGGCCCCAAATTGACTTTCTTCGAACTGTCATCTCCCTCATTTTGGTTATTCCTGAACTTTCCATTTTTAGCGTGCAATTCCTTCATTTCAATCATAGCTAAATGTTTAGCTTCTGTCACTCTATCCTGCAAAACCATAACTTCTTCATCTACAGTAGGAAATTTGGGCAGCTTCTTGCCTATCAAGTGTTCTATCCGCTGAAACAACTCCACATCATACTGACTGACAAAAGTAACAGCCCGACCTGATCTACCAGCACGAGCAGTTCTCCCCACCCTGTGTATGTAGTCTTTAGAGTGGGTTGGAATGTCGTAGTTCATGACCACATCCACATGAGGAATGTCGAGACCTCTGCTGGCAACATCTGTAGAAACTAAAATTGTGTAATCTTTTGATTTGAATTTATTGAGTGATCCTAACCGTTTGCTTTGGCTCATCTGTCCATGGAGAGGTATGGCATTCAACCCAAGGTTTCTGAGAACAATTGCTATTCTAGATGTATTTGCACAAGTACTGCAAAATATCATAAACGAATTTCCAGCCATTTCATTAAGTATATACACAAGATAACTCTCCTTGAATTTCTGAGGAATAAACACATAATACTGCAGAAGTTTCTCAACGGTGGAATATTTGTTTGCCACCTCAACTTTAACCGGATTTTGCAAAGAAGCTCTCTGAAGTTTCTGTACCTTTTTGGTCATAGTAGCAGAAAATAGGTAAGTGTTTCGCTGCTTTGGAATTATCTTGAGGATCTTATCTACTTCATCTTCAAAATCCATGTTGAGAATTCTGTCAGCTTCATCCATGACTAAATATTTTAAAGATCGTAAGTTGAAACCCTTGGTGTTCTCCAGGTGATCCACTAACCGACCAGGGGTAGCTACGACAATATGTGGTTTCTTTGCCAACATGATAGCCTGTGTCATCATATCGATACCCCCAATAATGACGGCACATTTGACTCCAATGCCAGAGCCAAGTGCCTCGAATTGTTCTGATATTTGGTATGCTAACTCTCTCGTGGGGGTAAGGACCAGAGCATATAAGCCTTGAGGTGATGCAAGCAATGATTGTAAGATAGGCAAAGCAAATGCCCCTGTTTTACCACTACCCGTTTCAGCTAGTCCGATCACATCTTTCCCGGATATTGCTACTGGAATGGCTTCTGCTTGGATCTTACTAGGTTTGGTCCAACCAAGCTCATTACATGCAATACACAGTTCTTCAACTACTCCAAGTTCTGAGAATGTCTCTGGTTCTTTGACTTCTACATCAACATTCTCTGGCACATTTTCTGTATCCACTACGTCCAATATTTCTGGCTGATTCTCTGTATCTGACATACCCCTGTCCCTGTATTAAAAAATGTTAGCACCTCTGGTGTTGATTTCTCCGTAATCGGTTAATATAATCAATTAGTTTCACCATTTCAATTTTAATTTGATTAAAATATAACAATTATTATAGATTACGATTGAGAAAGTCAAACACTTCTAAACTTGAATAAATAAATGTTGCAATCTATCATAATTGATTATAAAAAAGTTAAAAATGAAATAAATGAAGAATGCATAAAGCACATCAGTAGTTTTCATGATATCATTTAATGGTTTTTGAAGCCCACTTTTATTTCGATGCAAGCAAATAATTCTACTTCAAGAGGATCACTTCGTAGATGCCTACAAAAGAGCATGACATAGAGCTCTTTTATGAAAATAGCTCAAAACCTTGAATTTACTAGAATCTGAAAACACCAAGTAGCTAAAAATATCAAATACTGAACAGAAAATAATCTGAAAAAAAAACCAACAACCTCATATCTGGTACCTTCAGTTGATACCATTGACTAACCATTACAATTTAAAAGCAGGAACCCTGGACTTATTACCTTTTCCCTTTTTTGGAAATCCATTGTTCATGAGTTACGAGGGCCAGATCTAACTGATCGCTCAGATGTTTCAAAAACCGAGTGTCCTTTGAAGGTAGTTTATTCATTGTATGTTGAAGTGTGGTGTTTTTATACTTCAAGATACTTTCAGCCATTCTGTTAACCTTCTCCTCGAGAATCGGATTCGTGACAGGAAAGCACATCCAAAAGTGGCACAGAATTTGAGATGCATTCAAATAACAGAGTCTTATTTCTTCCATAAGAGTGGAGCCTGGTTTAGGAAGTTTTGAAAGATGATTAGATGATACACTATCTGTGATTTCAACCATTGCCTGAAGGGCATTTTGTGAACTGATTGCTTCATGCATTCTGGAGAGAGTAAAATTTTTCATTTCTGCTTTAGTTTTCTCAAGAGCATGTGAAGCTTCGATTGATGAAACTTGAGTCGTACTTACAGCTGATCCAGACATTTTTGATTTGGAAAGATTGAGTGGCACTCGAGTTTGCTCAGACAAAGTTTCAAGATCTGTTTGCTGGGTTACCTCTTTAAGTTGCTCCCTCTTCACAAGATCGGCAGACTTTTGATTGTTTAGGTCTGTTTGAGCAAAGTTTTGACATATCATAAAGCTATGATGGTTGTATTTACGCAGAAGTGGCTTTGAACCAGCACTCGAATTATTAGCTTGCATTACGCCATAACCCTCACTATTCAGGTAATTATTTGATTCAGATATATCTAATAAAGGATCTCGATCACACAATAATAGCTTCTGAAGGTAAGTCTCCTCGTCCTCTACAGCCAAATTAAGGAAAAGGTCATTCTTGGATCCATTAGAAGCAGAATTTTTATCCTTATGAAAGTAGTGAGACTGAAAAAACTTGGTCCAAAAATCCTTCTCAGTAATCTTATCTGGCACCATTTCTTGATGCCTTCTCTTAATCATAGGGTAAGTATGAAAAATACTTTGAATAATTTCTGGTGTGATGTTATATTGAATAGAATTACATCCATCAACTTCAGGCCTAGCTTCTGACATAAATGCTGAAGTGACACCTGAAGATTGTTGAAGGTCTTGTTCAGCTGACAATAGTTCCGCAGCTTTTGGAATAGTCCAAAAATCTTCAGCAGATATTATACCACCGCTAACTAAAGTCTTATACATGATAAACATCTCCTCTGAACCTTGCAATATTTTTTGCTTAATCTCCAGTTCCTTACTCAATTTCTTCTTTGAGGGTTCTTCTTTAGCAGTGACTGTCTTACTTTTTTGAAGTAATTGAACAAGAAGTTCTTTCACTCTTTCTCTTTCAGCTTTCTGTAATTCGGCAACTGGATTGCTAAAATGAAATGTAACTGTTGTGTCATCATGTAATACAAGCTGCAGTCTTACTTTAGGTGCTGAATCCGGACTTATACGCTGAGCCTTTATCTGAGAATATTCATATTGCACAGTAGGACCTGATGGGCGATCAACATGAGTCCACACAACGCGATTGAGGGTTACATAAAGGGTTCCATTTTCTTTCTTAAACTTGGTACTTTTCACCTCCAGGATTACGTTTTCACCACAGTTGAGCCATGGTAGCATAATTCTGAAATAAGAATTATTTTTTAGCAATAGAACAGTACAGTGAAACAATGATGATGTTTTCTCTATGAAATATACACAATATTTGTAATCCTGAAACAAATTGAAAATAGATTTAATGCAGTTAAGATTAACCAGTGCAGATGGGGTTCAGATGTTGTAGATCATGCAAATAATTTGTTGGATTAACCAGATGCTTCTGAGCTCACAATTTTTATTGAAGGTTGTCAAATAAGTACTGTGGCGTAAGAAAGGCTGTGCGGCGGGGGGGGGGGGGGGGGGGGAGGGGACCGGCCGGGCCAGGGCAGAGGCATCACCTTAAAGTGGCGCCAAATTATTGTTTGAATGTGGGACACTATTGAAAAAGATTTGATTTGATATATCCTCTAAAATCACCTAATTTGTCCAATTTTACATTTCTACTTTATGTCCAATTTTACATTTCTACTTTCTACCCCCACGCCGAAAAGGGGGGGGCAGGGGTGCCAACATGTAACGTTACACCACTGTAAGTGTTATATGTTATTCTATTTTCTATAACATTTACCAGAAAAGGGGTGAAATCATAAACTTTCTCATTTTGGTTCTTGAAATAGTGGTTTAAAGTTGTAAGTAAATCCTGGATGGCTTCAATAGGTTACCCGGCATCTGAAAAGCCCACTAAAGCATTCTGTGGATTACTGAAAGCAGTAAAACTTGTAGCTTGTTCTAAATTACTTTTGCGGAAAAAGTGCCTTTTTCCCAACTGAAAACAAAAATTTTTTAAATAAATAAATAAATACAACATTTATAAACCGCCTTATAGCTAAATCATATAACTCGATATAATTTAATCCTGGAGATAAACTCCAGTGCTTTCTAAAGCGGCTCTTACATTAACTGAGCTTAGTTTAATTAAAAATTAGACATGACAAGTTCATTTTACCTATGTAAATGCAAAATCAATCAAATGCTAGAGAAAAGAAGTATGTTTTAAGTTTGGTCTTGAAAGATGTAACTGACTCAGCTGATCTTATGTCGTGGAAAACTAAGGTAAAAATAATCATTATCAAGACGTACATTTTTAAAACTTTGCTGCCTAGGAGATATCAACTCTTTTAAGTAAGGAGGAGCTATATTATTTAAACACTTGTAGTCAAGTAGGGCAATCTTAAAATCTATTCTAAATCTAACTGGTAGAAAATGAACTTTCTTAAATGCCAACAATAATGACCCAGACCACATCTATCAGATATTGGGAAATTGGTGAAATGGGTTGGCCTGAAAGATGGCATAGTCCTATCCTTCGAATGCAGGAGGTCAATATATATATAAAATTATTCAAACAATATACACATAATATAGCAATGACCCTATATAAAATCAACCCTTTCAAAAAATTCCCTTATAATCAAAAATTACCCTTGGTGTTGTAGTTGGGCTTTTAGCCAGAACAAGTAGACAAGTAATACTCTGCTTTAACATACAACTCTAAGGGACCTAAATAGGGAATAGGCAATAGTCAGTATAATGTAATTAATATAGATAATAACATCACAACAACTTCCCCATTAAGTTCATTACTCTCTTCTTTCTTCTCAAAATTGAAACTGCACGCTAAATTCTACATGCACATGTAATGTTGTCGTGTGCGCGCTACAAATTAAAATAAAAAACATGAGCGCCTTCCATCGATTATCAAATAATAAAAAATGGCGGGAGAGATCTTCTCGAATAAACAATAATTAAGGCTGAAATAGATAAGGCAACATTAAGTCAGATAACGATTAAAAAGTTCAATTCTGTCATTATCTCAAATAAACTTTTAATTTCAAATAACGGAGTAGTTCGCTGTTTATTAGTCTCATGATTGAAATACTGATATCTGGATATTATCCGGTTGGAAGAGACAAGGACAAGTGAAACAAGGAAGTTAGGAGTAAGGGCAAATTTTCGGCGTTAACGCCATCTTCAGGCTCAAATTATTTGTTATATAGTAGTGTTGAAAGTATTAAAACTTTTGGATAATATCCAGATATCAACTTTTAATTTCTCAAATTTAAACCTCAATTCACACAGGATAATGAGCCCTAAATATAAGATAACGAGCCCTCAAAAACCGTTTTACATTTTGAATCCCCGATAAAAACATTCATTTATAAAACTCTTAATTTCAAACAGTTACACACATGGTGTACCCAAATAATAAATCTGGTTCTCTGTATTACAATTACACAATTAAATTACGCATCTTGTTACTGAATTCTAATGATGGACAGGATCACCGTAAAACTTAGTTTTCCTGTGTGTTCGTTCTGAGCGGCGAAGGGGAGGCACTGCGGCGGGAGGTGCCTGGGGGTCGGAGTCCGACCGTCGGACTCTGTCCGGGGACAGGGGACAAACGCCGGGTTCTGTACCTGTGCAGGTACAGTGTTCGTACTGGGTGTGGTAACATGATTTTCCGGAAGCTGTATGTGTGTGCCGTAGGTAGGTCAAAACATTTCTTTGCTTGAGAGTCAAATAACCAGTGGCCTGAACTAACTAAAAAGTTTCATTGGCCTGAACTGGTTAAATGGTTTCATTGTAGAGAATATTTATTTTTATCAAATCTTTAAAAACAACATCGTCCTGTCTTGCAGACTTGGTATTATCAATTATGCAATTAAGGGTTAGAGTTCGAATTAGAATCAAATTGACACAGCAACACAATAAGAATAAAGCATAATTTTACGAAGCTTCAATCTGCTGTGCTCGACATTCAAATCAGTCATTACTGGGCGGCGCTCAGCCTGTCATTCCGCCGAATCTTTATTCGGGCTGAGTGAATTACGACCTCCATTGCCCTGAAAAAAAGTGCGGATGCTCATTGGATGTTAGAACGCACGTGACTCGCATTCACGTGATCGTTCAGAACCAATTACAGCCGCGCAAAAGAACACGTGCACGCCAACTACCAATAAGAAAGAAGTGACGTATGCGCTACAAGAGCCGCGCAATGAGTTAGATTGTAAAATCTGATCATTTGATTGTAAAATTGCACAAACGCGCCTATTTGCGCGTTTTAGAGGGTTCAATTACGCCAGGCTATGTTTATGAACATAATAGCCTGGGGTCCCCAGGTAAATCAGTCAAAAACATATAATCAATGATAGAGTAGTTCAAACAATATATAAATAATATGTAATATCACAATGAGCCTAAATAAGAATAAACATCTGATATGAGTAAAAACACCTTCAAAACTGAGGAAAAAACCTTTATAGTAAAAAAGTCTTCGGCGGCGCGCGCTTCGCGCGCGAAAAGTGGCATGCAACGTATGTCAAATTCATATCTAAATCTGCTATTTTAATTGCACTTCCACTTTTCTAGTTTCACCCCTCTTTCATGTTTCAGTCAAAAACTGTTTATAAATTACTCGGCGGCGCTCAGCCTGTCATTGTACCTAATTTCTATTATGATTATGCAATGAACATAAATATAATAGCCTGGGGTCCCTTGTATCACGTTACCTGAGGACCCCAGGCTATTATGTTCATTAACATAGCCTGGTGAGACTGAACCCTCTAATACGCGCAGGTCTCTCGGACGGGCGCGTTTTTGCGCGTGGAATGCTGAGCGCGCAAAATATATGTTTTGTAATGATAATCGCATATCGGTAGACCTTTTAAAAGCAGTATGTGACAGAGTGGCAACAAGCCGACAAGCGACATGTTGTAAGTTACTAGTGCGGTAGCGTTGTGATACTTTATGAAGTTTCTCATTTGTTTTGGTCAATTTGCAATTGCAATTGCAATCCCGAACTTTGACGGATCAAAGGTTTCATGATGGTATAACTAGTATTACTATTACTGAATTGTTAATGATCACACGACAACTCGCCTAGCATTCCACACCAAAAACGCGACCAATGTCATTCCACCATATTATATATCAATCGTGTTAAAGAACACAAAAGCCGGAGGTCTAAAGGTTAATACAATCAAGTGGAAAAAGGTGGTAGACATATCACAGAATTTATGTCAACTTTCATATTTTAATCATTTTATTACATAATTTAAAGATCATATTCTAATAATTTTATTACATAATTTAAAGAGAACGGTTAATAATGGAGTCATTCGTAAACTATTGACAAATAGCTATTCACGAGAGTGCTCAGTTCACAGTTGTCAGTGCTATAGCCAGTACCATTACCAAATACACAAATCACTCAGAATATTTTCAGCTTTAACTTACCCGGGGACCCCGGGCTTTGTGTTCTCAAACACAGTAGTTATATTAATATTAGATTTTAGTAAATATGCTTGATTCATGACTGATACGTGTATGAAAACCTAAAACGGGGTCCCCAGGTACTCAATCGATTAGATATGTAAAAGATTCCGATACGAGGGATTATCATACCTCATGCTAGCTATGCATTTTCGTATGATACAGAATGACATTAACTGCGGAGCACCGTACTGAGTTTCTACAACAAGGTCTACACTAAACTGAAACAGTAAACATGTGAAGATGATTGATCACTCAGTACTCGACCAACTGCACGTAGCATACTTTAACACGTACTACTTCAAGTAGTCCTTAGAGACTATTAAAAATCTAAACCCAAATTAGAGTGTAGAACGTATGTTGAAAACCATTACCCGTACGACTACGACAAATTATACCAACATCCTTATTTGGTCATTATAAAGAGGTTCATAAAAGGAAAACATATCCAAATAATTTTTTATCAATTAAGATAATTTTACGTTCATAAGGCTCAAAGAGTTTGTTGGCCTATTCTTGCTGCAAGGAGAGCTCTTCGCTCTAGAGGTAGGTCTTTATCAAACAAGGATTGTGGGACGAGCTTTTCAGTCAGGTCCATGTTTGCCTCTTCAGGACTGCCGTGGTGATGGCTGATACTATGTCCACACTCTTGTACCTTTGAAGACTCTGTAACAAACGGGTGTCGGCGGAGGCTGTAGATTCAAGGAAAGGAGCGCTGAACCAAGCTCTCAAATAAACGAAGACAACAAAGTGAGCCATCTTCTGCACGTTTCTCTTCTTCGTACAGTGAATTGGTATCTAGTGAAGAAAAGCCATCTTCATAATGTAGAATGTAGATGGACTTAGCCATCCATCTGGCATGGTGGTCAGCTCCAGGTCTTTGTATCTGGAAGACGTATCCTTTCTTCATATCTATGCTTTCTCTATGGATTAGTTTAGCAAGCTCTAGGAATTCCTTGTAATGTTCTGGGCTGGTTGTTGAGTTGACGGATGTGATTAATAAAGGATAGAATATCTCCTACGTCGTTCCTTTAGCGCGTAGGGATATCGGGAAGGACGATGTTCTGCAGATCGATTCCCAGGAGGTCTTCATGATCTTGAAGAGGGTTACTTCGAGTGATATTGTGTCACCGAACAGTTGCTTGGAGGCAGATCCTCTTACAAGCTCCGCCTCCAGGACGTGATGTCTGCAGGCCATCCAGAGGATCTGTCGATTGAGGACCTGCTGAAGAGAAGTACATGCTCTTTTGTGAACTCCAGTATTGGATGATGTCGTATCAAATCCAACGGCTATTATTTTATCTGCTAGGTCCGGTCGTCGAGAATCTTCTTCACTTTGTCTGCTTCGTCCTAGTCCTTTTAGACTGGAGAGTAACTAGTCGTACAGATTGCGAGTATCTTGTTCTCCTCCTCTTGTACTAGGACCATAGCCAGTCTGTTTACTTTACTAAACCCTCCGAGGTCTGTTTTCGTCAAAATTTATCTGTCTGACATCAGAGGTAAAGTCTCTTTTTATCTTTGCTGCTTACTCTGATCGGACTGTGACAACGTTCAGTGGACTTTGAGAGGGAAAACTGCTTCATATCCCCGTGTCTCCACTGAGCAGTGAGATGCAGTGTCTCCTCAAACCGTCACTGAGGGAAAGAAAATAAGCTACTACGTGTGAAAATGAGGAGAAAATGTTCAACTTCTATCATGAAATTACCAAATTAACAAATCTGATTCATTTCTAATCAAAGATGAATATGCAAGGCGGCTTTTAGTTTTAACAACCAGGGTTTAAGCCAGGAAGGATAGTTTTATTTTAAAATAATGTATACCTGATTTTTAGAGATACAACTGCAGCCAAGACTGATATCAAGACGATTGAACTCCGCAAATTTCTGGCCAGAAATAGATCATCTTTCATTATTGTAGATCACCTCCTGAAAAATAGGTGTGCGTTTAGAAATCTATTTAGAATTTATAAGCTAAGTCTTATAATATTCCAGTTACGTGGGATGAGTTGCATGGGTACAAATTGTCGGAAAAGTGATTGATTACGTAATATAAAGTGGTTATGTAATATACAAACAAACATAAACACAAATTCATGGGATAAGTGCGTGGCTGTATTAATTGACGTTGAATGATCCATGTTACGTGTCATATGGAATGTGGTATCTTGAAAATTCCCAACACGTTTGGGATGTAAAATAAACTGTGTCCTTAACAGTGAACATTCTTTTTAAATTTTTGACGGAAATTACCAGTAAGTGAAGAAAAAATAAAACATTGTAACCCAAATATCAACTACCGTCTTCAACCGGCGAAGTTTTCTTTCTCTTAGTAGGGGTGAGCGATTGAAGGGGTGATAGAGGTGGTAGCGTAACTAAGTCTAAAGGGTCGATCAGGAGGTGACCGGGACATGATTTTAGGCCTGACCGGGACCGGGACCGGGATACAAAATGTGACTTGACCGGGACCGGGACCGGGACTGAGATTATCAATTTACCGTGACCGGGACCAATAATTTCTGGGATTTCTATCTTACCGGGACCGGGACCGGGACCAACAATCCAATTTTACCGGGATGACCGGGATGACCGGGACCAAAACTGGTATTCTCATATTGAAAGCTGCAACTTTCATTTACATTATAATTGAACAATTTGAATAAGTAATAACTAGAATATTAAATTAGAAAAAACTTTTAAAAAACCGTCAATATGGGGCATGGGCCTAATGTACTACACCAATAATGTTCATGTACTGATTACTCAAGTTCACCCTCATTCCTCATTCCTCAATCAATGATCCCTCAAATTATTCAACAGTTTCATTCTCCAATTCCAATTGACAATTGGGCGTAGCCCGAGTTGAAAACTTGATGTTAGTTTGCACTTATGAGTTATGTAACGATATTAGTTACCTAAACTTGTTTAGCAATTTTAAACATTGTGTTATTTGGCTCAGAGGTTGTTTAAAGATGAAATTCACAATGAATGAAAGTAAAAACTTAAAATCACAGTGAATGAAATTATGTGAAAGATCCCGGTCAAAATCCCGGCAAATTTGAGTGATTGACCGGGACCGGGACCGGGACCAAGAATCCTGAATTAACCGGGACGGGACCGGGACCGGGATCATAAATCAGCATTTGACCGGGACCGGGGGGGGTGATGCAACGTCAATTAATGTCAATTAATGTCAATTAATGTCAATTAATGTCAATTAATGTCAATGTCAGTTTTGCAAAATTTTGGAATACTGACATTAATTGACACGATATTTTTCGACCAGAGATTATGTAGTTCTACCATATTTTTAGCACTTTAGAACGTTTATATCATCAATTTATTCACTACTTTCACATATGGAAATGTGAAATGTGAAAAATTCAGATCATTAAACAATAAAACTAAAATAAAACGGTTTTCCGAAATTTAATTTTCTTAAATGGGCGTGGCCATCCAAGGGCGTGGTTCTCAACATCATCAGAACTTAAAACCCACATTAAACGAAATGCCTTCATGACATTTATATTTGAATAACGAATCTTAAACAGCTAACATTACTCCTTCATGCTAAAAAAGCCGATTCTAGATATTTTACCTGTATAAGAAACCAATAAAATATGGGCGTGGCCGGTGGGGACCGAAGATGGAAGAGTTGGAAGCTAAATTTTTTTTGGTGGTCTTTGAACCTCAGGATCAACAGATAAGAACATAATCATAATTATTCAAGGACATTTTGTTTTTTTTGAACCGGTCTAACTTACATAGACGTGAATATCTATCGAATAATGATAATCTCAAATTTCAAGACAAATTAATGTCAATTAATGTCAATTAATGTCAATTAATGTCAATTAATGTCAATTAATGTCAATTAATGTCAATGTCAGTTTGGGGTTTTTATGGAATACTGACATTAATTGACGTTGCATCACCCCCGGACCGGGACCGCGACCGGGATGAAAAATGTGACTTGACCCGGTTGACCGGGACCGGGACCGGGATAGCTCAAAATTGCCAATCCCGGTACCGGGATTCCCGGTCACCTCCTGGGGTCGATCACTTTACCGTCTGTACGCGACAATTCACGTAACGTACTTAAATAATAGTTATTGACACGGTATTGTGTCGAATGATTTAGGGACAGTTCACATATTACGTAATCACCCTACGCGCGTGGGGTGGACTCCTGGGGTGGACTTTTATTCAGCGCGTATTTTGTAGCCTGTTCAACTTGACGTTTTGATTCGTTACTATCTCAATGTCACAGATACACAGAATGTGAGGTGATCATCTTAAAGAGAAACGTCTCAGCTTTCACCTGGTGTAAAGTTTATCTTTGTACTCAAAATATAGCTCGCTCAGTGTGCAATAGAAGTTGACAATACAATAACCACGTCTGCGACCGGTCGTCAGGTACCGGAGTGTTGCACAAAATTGGGTCCCTAAATTAAAATTCTATGACACAGTTACCATGCAGAAATGTCTGGAGTAACATTTGGTGAAAATTTGAAGGGTCTACTGTAAATATTGCAAAAGTTATTGAAAACAAACTAGCTTAATCAGAAGTTTTTGGGAAAATTTCAAATTTTGTACGTAGTGGGGTCTACAGGGGTGGACTCTTGCGGCGCGCATCTGACGGAGTGGCTTTTTCAACAGCCGTCAGTACGGCCAATATCAGAGCACAAATTATTGTGAGTAAGACCTTAATGATCAGCTATGAACCCCTCACTAGAGTAGTAACCGTATCTAAAAACAAGGAAATGTTATTCCGTCAAAGCTCAAATTTTTTACTCTTCTCAGTGCAGTTAGTGTTACTATGAATGTACTAGCTAAGTATCGTTGATCGTAGCTGCATTACACAGTAGAAAGTAACCAAGGAAGACTGCTGATTAACGAAGCAATTTCAACGTGAACAGTTCCAAAATACATAATCATGGCGACGATAGTTCAACTTGAACCTTTATAGTTTTTACAGTCTAAAATCACAATAAAATCACGTGAACTGCAAATCACAAAATCAAATCACTCAAATCTGATAGTCCCGTTACAGTACGCTTTCGTGACAACCTCAACGCTTAAAAAATAAATATTATCCAGTCTTGTGACCACCGATGGCCCTAACTCTCCCTTGTCCGCGAGGAGCATCGTTGCGACCATGGGGTTTCAGTTCTTTGTTCTTCCCACTCGGCTTCGATAGATCGAATTGGCTGGAAGTCAATCTATCAGAAAGACCTTTGTCGATCTCAGGGGCGTAGTAAATTGTGGATGTCGGAGTATAAAGCTTCCTGAAAAGATTGAGACATTCACTCGGTCTGTTGTAAATATCAAATAGTCCTTGTAGGCAGAGATTTAACTTATGTTGGGTTTGATAACTAGAGAAGGCGATTTGATATTCATTGATAGTATAAGCATATAAGCATAAGTGATAAGTTTATATACCCTTTTTATGGTACCTCGAGGCTCGATATCTGTATTCAGTAATCATCACTAAAAATCTACTTATTAAATTTATTAACTAAACAAGTTAATGTATTACCGTCCTAGAGAGGTTTCCTGAGAATTTGAAGTCTCTGTAGGTTGCTGGCATGTCTACTAAGCTCTTCGATTGAGGAGTTTTGGACCCCTCGGCGGTCCAAATGATTTATAATGCTGTGGGCATTTTCAACATCTATCGAGGTAAACGCCCTCGCAGCATAACCTGTAGAGAATGAACATGTCATCAATGTGAAGTTCAATGATAAAAATCAGAGTGGCCGATTTCAACGGGCAGAATTCTAATATCATGGCCATGGGGAATGGACTATTTTTTGTCGATTTTGCAAACCAAACTGGCAAACGATTGTTGATTTTCGTCACTAGTCTAAAATGAATGCAAACGTTCGGCCGAACATTTACATGATTAGAAACTTACCGGTTTCTTTCGTTATTATGTACAGACATGGCCGGGCTTGGGTTCCGCATACGATATCTTCTATCAGATTAAAGTTGAACCCACACTTTGTACTGCTCGTGGGAGGAGGAAAGCAAACGGAGACCTTTTCCATGAGCATCTCGTGTAGTACCATCATCATGTCGATTCTGATATCAGCTGCAAAATTCGTCTATTACTAAATGCTAGCTTTTCGAACTTCGTATCTTGGAAATAACAACTTCTATGAAAGAACACACACACACACACACACACACACACACACACACACACACACACACACACACACACACACACAGACAGATACACACACCCACAAACACATACAGACATAGACACACACACACAGAGACACAGACATACAGGCATACAGGCATAAACACAGACACAGACGGACACACAGACAGACACACAGACAGACACAGTTACACACAGACAAGGACACACAGACACACACCCACAAACACATACAGACATAGACACACAGACACAGGCATAAACACAGACACACACAGACACAGACGGACACACAGACAGACACAGTACACACAGACACACACATAGTTCACTTCAGTGCACTACATTACAATTACAGACACACGCAGTACAATCAGAGACACACACATGATACAAAGACAGACACAGACACAAACACACAGAGTACACTTCAGTACAATCACAGACGCAGGCACAAAGACATATACAAGAAGAGCAGATTGAAGTACCTTCATTTGCAGATGTTGACGCATTGATCTGCGGGATATGTTCTTCAGTCTGTAACTGATCATCTGCTAGAACTGTCTCATCTGGATCAACCGGAGGAGTATCTTCCGGCAGGAGTCTGAGTGGGTCTATCGGGACAGCCATGGATCGCTCTCCCTACCTTGTTGAATTAAAGACAAAGGTCAACGACGGATGTCGCATGTTAGTCCTGTAACTAAATGTAATCCAAAATAGTGAATAAATAATTTTTACATCTGAACGATTGTATGTCTGAATGGTGATTTTTAATCAATGAACAAAAGTTCAGGATTTTACCTTCTGTTAAGCTGTTAGCAATGACTCTAGCACCCTCTCCCTACAAAACGACCATATCTCGGTCTGAAGCTTTAAACCGTCTTGCCTCAGCAGCCATCTAGCACAGTCGACCTGTCCTGTTAATTGTGTGATCATCAAGTTACCAAATTTAATCCTTCAATATTCAAATAATTGATTATTAGACAAAACAGAGTTTAGAGCTCGACGTATGCTTCAGGGTTTCACACTGTGCTGTAATCAAACGCATGACTAAAACCTCTTGCTACTATTACCAATAAACCCATATTGTTAAGGCGGTCGAATGATTTACCTGAGTTGATCGCGTCCATGAAAGGGTTAAACTGCGTTCTGTCCAGCTTGTTAATGTCCGTTCCAGCAGCCAGCAGTGCCTCCGCCTCCGTCACTCTCCCTGCTTTGCATGGCCAGTGAAGCGTAGAGCTCCCCTCTAAGCTCTTTGACGATCCGACGAAGGATCCAGATTCCCTTCTTTTCTTTTGAGATTGCTTCAATTCTTCCTGGAGTATGCGGATTACCATTTATATACTTCCATACAGGGCGCGTGAACAATCAGCAATGAATAGCCAGCTGCTGTGGCATGCTAAATAGAATTAAAGATAACATTCCCACATCACTCCATAAAGATCTATATCACACTCTGTTTGAAAGCTATCTTGCATATGGTATAACTGTCTGGGGAGGGGCATCTAACAAAAAACTTGAACCTCTGTTCAAAGCACAGAAAATGTGTGCCCGCATAATGTTTGGAGATAAAGAAGCATACTTGGATAAATTTAAAACTAGTGCACGATGCAGACCCTACGGGGAGCAAATCTTGGGCAAGGAATTCTACAGAAAGGAGCATACAAAACCCCTCTTCAACACTCATGAAATCATGAATGTGCATAATCTGTACTTCTACCATTGTATTAATGACATCTTCAAGGTCTTGAAATATAGAACCCCTATATCACTATACTCCCTCTTTGAAACATCTGGCAGACTTGGCAAAGAGACCCTCATTCTCACACCTAAATCATCAGACAGCTACATATACAGAGCAGGGACAATATGGAATACAGTACGACAAAATCTCATGCTAACTACATTCACCTGTTATAAGCCCAATCACCTCAAATCATCCATAAGAATCACCATCACTCACACTCAAAAGGAAGGAGAACCAAATGACTGGAACTTAGCCTTAAACAGCGTTCGACAAAATTCAAAAACTTTAAAATTGACCTTGCCTAGATTACTTAAGCTTGAAAAAGCGGTAATATCTTAGCGAAATATAACTTGCAGCAGCCCCATACCTTGTCATGAACATAATATCGAAACTACCTCTGTGATCACATCTTTCTCTGGGTGCAAAATGAATATATATATAGGTTTATTAGTTTTATAGAAATTTAAAAGTTCTATAGAAATTTATTATATAAGGATTATAAACATTTTGTTTGTGTGTTTTGTGTTATGCATTTTTATACCTATTTTAGAAGAGATTTTTATAGAATGTTACAAGTGCAGTAGGGTCAGTTTCAGACGAATTAAGCATAAATGACATCATTGCCATGTCTGAAGTGGTTTGTAAATGGGCCATTGTTAGCCCCAAGCGTTTTGGTCCCTCATTCCTGCCACTCAGCATTGCCTACTGTAAAGTAGAAATTTTTCTAAGATAATAGAGAAACTGACCTTGTCTCACTAAATTCAACCACTTACCATAATTAAAATACTAACAACCAAATAAAGTTTTTTAAATAATTATATACAATCACCAAAAATATTTCCTCAAGTTTACTTCTAGCTAACTAATTCGTGGTTTAAGCTCTTATTTTATTTATGATTAAAGGAATGTAAAATAAAACTTTTCGTTTCATTGAAAACTTTTCGTTTCATTGAATTATCAATTAATCAATCTAGTTTTTGAGTAGAAAGTCCACAGATTGTGATACATTGGATTTGATATTGGAAAAGACATAGCTTACCAAATACCTTTTCATGGGCTTTTTGGAGGACAGGGATGACTTATTCCTGCGTGCCATTACACCATAACTATCTGCTGTAACAGCAAAAATTAGAATTATGTCGGACATAATTCTAAAAAATTGGAACATCGTAGTTAATCAGTGTGGTGCTAACAACAGAGAGCGATTTGAACGGTAGGCAATTTCATAAATTCCATTAACGCGATATAAGGATGATTGGAACAGGCTAAAATCTACTATGTAGCATTGATAACTGGCTATATCGCTGCATTAAACGATAAAAGTATTGCTAACTATGGATATTCTAAGTGATCTAGGCAGAGGGGAACCGGCACAGCCAGATTGCGTTGTCTTCAGTGACTAAGTTTCACGATAGTAAAATTGACCTTATTTATTTTTAAAAAGGATGCACAGTTCAAGCAATAAATCGATCAGCTGCTCATATGATATTTGCATTTAAAGGAGGGCCCAGTGCAGTGACAAGTAAGTCTGTTAAGGCAACATTTAGTTCTGAGATTAGCTGAGTCTTGACAAAGATAAGTTGAGTTTCGAGAAAGTGCACACGGATAAAGTTATCAAGTGAAAATGATAAGACTAAGTTAGGGTCCAGTCAACAGAATGGCAGCTGTAACAGAAACAGTTCATTGGATAGGGGAGTAGGGGATTATGACGGAGTGAAGTTTATATAGCAGGGCAAACAAAAAACAACTGACAGCACTGAGCAAGTGAACTGGAAAATTGAGGAAGGGAAATAACTGTGGTTGTCAGCCCTTTCCGTAGCAATCAGGATTTCCCACGAGATCGATCAGGCAATCAGGATTTCCCACGAGACTGCTCCATCCGATGCGCGCACTTTTGTCACGTGACGGCCACGTGACGCTCAAATCGTTGTCACGTGGTACAGAAGGGAGTTTCCTAGAGCGTTGATCTCGACAAGAGGGAGTTTCTCACGGTTTATCTTCAATAACTATCGCTATTTTTATAGTAGAGAGTTGAAACTTTCACCAAATGTTTCCCTAGACATTTCTGCATGGTAACTGTGTCATAGAATTTTAATTTAGGGACCCAATTTTGTGCAACACTCCGGTACCTGACGACCGGTCGCAGACGTGGTTATTGTATTGTCAACTTCTATTGCACACTGAGCGAGCTATATTTTGAGTACAAAGATAAACTTTACACCAGGTGAAAGCTGAGACGTTTCTCTTTAAGATGATCACCTCACATTCTGTGTATCTGTGACATTGAGATAGTAACGAATCAAAACGTCAAGTTGAACAGGCTACAAAATACGCGCTGAATAAAAGTCCACCCCAGGAGTCCACCCCACGCGCGTAGCTGGTGGTAATTAGGTTATCACTATTGGCCAATTCTTACACCTCCCCACCCCCACTACGTTATCAATTTTACAGATAGTATAGCTATTGTTATGTGTCATAATAACACTAGCGTAATCTAAATCATTTGATGATTTGAAACCCCCGCCCTGCCCCATCGGCTGATCGGCACGCCCGAGAGCGCGGTAAAATATAGAAATATATGCTGAAGTGAGTGTGGTTTATATAAAACTTTCGGATACATTTTATGAATGAATTTGTGCGTGACTATAAAATTATGGCATGACTAGAGCCGCGCACACGTGCCAGCTACCACACATTTGAAACTTATTCTTACAATAACACTAATTACAGTGGAATGTGTAATGTCAAATGGGAGCGGTGTGAACAGAGCTGAGTGTAGCCGTGTGTACGGAGGAGCTGTATTAAGTGTCATCTAAGAAGATAATATGCCATTATTCCGTTTTATTAATATTACAGTATTTGGCGACTGGCTGGCCGATGGTGCTGTGTATCTTTTGGAAGGACAATACAAGGTCAGCAATATAAAGTATATCCCCGGGTCAAAATCGGAAAAAATTAGAATATTTATATTCTTCGTTAAGATTTACATGATGAACTATATTTTTCGCTTAGATTCGCAAGATAAGCCTGTTTTAGGACTAGTACATGGATTTACATCCAAATTGGTCAAAAATTGGCTGAGTTATGAGCTTTAAAAAATATGCCCACATTTGGGCATACGATTTTGCCCAAATTTGCTTTTGCCTAAATTCGATCAAACTTCAATATTTTTTAATGAGACTAACTCTATGTGAAAGATATACCTCAGTGTTTGTTGAATATAGTGATTACTAAGTAAAAAGACCTCTATGAAAAAAATTGGGAAAATTGCACATAATATTATCTCGGTTCGGAATACTAGCCAAAATTATGACTTTATTAAAATTGAAATAACTCTATCAGTTTTCAATATTTTTGCAAGAACTTTTTGGAATCGATTAAGAATTGCATTTCAAGCTTATTGTGCCGGCAAAAATTGTTGATGTAGGCCTCCAAGGAGATATCCGGGTCAAAATCGGAAAAAATCCTATATTTTAATATACTTTAATATGGTTGCCCCCCCCCCCCCCCCCCCAATGTTTGAGTGACACACTAACTATGCAGTTTTACCTGTTTAGAGGGGTTTTCAAAGAAAGTTTTAGTTCCCAAAGTCCGTCTCAAATACCAAAAGCAAAACTACCAGTACCATAAGCTTTAAACCTGGGATATCACTAATTTTACAAATAATAACATAATATCGAGTATGGAGGCCGGAGGGGTTAGAGGATGGTATTAAACTAAAAGTATAACAGCTAGGCTGTAATAATATCCAAGATTGTCAGAAAATATCGTCTAATCAAGCCAGAAAAGTTTGGTAACTTATCGACTATCGAGTAATCGCACGTACGACAGGTTTCTCGTTTATCTCACCAAAAACTTCAGCAGCTTTTTTTCTCATCGTCAGATTCACTTATTCCATACGTAATGACCCTCCTGCTTCTATATCGTCCTCTTCAGCTTCTGTCTTTACTGCTCTCTCCGCGGCCATCTGTAAATGGGGGGTTGTAAAAAGATAAAAAATGTAGTATACAGTTTTCAGCCAATCAGAAGACAGAATGAATCAAACGGTTTTTCTTTCCAAACTGATCGCTTGTTCAGGTTAGACGATACGAAATTTCAGTGGCCTTTTACTCCCAAGTTATAGACATATTTCATTAAAAACACTGTTTGTGGCTCTCGCAAGCTGATCTGCAAATTTTATAGCAAACTTAATATTGTGATAGTGAATATTTTACCTTGAGCGGGCCCGTCACAGTTGACAAAAAGAAGTATCTCGACGAGGGAGCTGGGAGAGATAGAACTTAGCTAAAATGATAGGGAAAGGGTTAAACAAAGTTTTGAAAACATTAAAAACGAAATAAGCAGCATTAATAACAAACATGATGAGCCATAATCAGAGTAACACACCACGTAACCAATTGCCATGGTTACGCGCAAGTTGAAGTAACACAGTTACGATAGATATTGATATAATTTCATAAATATAGCCGAAAAGAAAGACAAGTAAGTATTTTAGTTGAGGTTATGATATGTTAAAGAGTAAAAGGTTTTGCAATTCAGCTGGCTGCCAAAATCAGCGGTCAATCCAAAGATAGATTTTAGTGACGATCGTATAATAAACTACATCGTCACTAAA